TATGGGCATGAATTCGAAGGGCGGAGAGTTGGTCTAAAGATTGAATGGTGGCCATAGAAGTTAGATGCCAGTGAAGAAGCAGTGGATGTTGGTCCAAAAACATATGAAGTTCTGCTTGGGCGAGGGGGCTAAGGACGTGACCCTAAGTCAGAATATCACAAGCCCATCGAAGGTTCTTGAGAGGAACATCGTCCTCAAGAACATTGAAAGACAAATGAGAGAAGGCCGCAAGCAGAAATTGGGCTTGCTTCTGCCCAGCTGGAGTAGGGGAAGGTGGAGGCTTGTAAGGAGAAAAGACCTTATCCGCAGAGAGGGTAAGCCTCAGTCTCTCTGTCCAGCAAGGATTTGGTAGAGGAGGAGGTGCGAGAGCTTCCATGTCGGGAGAAGGAGCAAGGGCAGAAGGAACAAGGGCATCAATATAATCGAGCCAGTCAGAAGAGCAAAGCTTTGCCTTCTGAGCTAAGAACGATGAAGCGTACCCTTGTGCCTCTTCTGGGCGTCGGGCAGCGTGTACTATTTTTGTAGGCATGAAGGATGTATACCATGCTGCAAGCAGATTCTCCTCCAAACTGCGTCGTTAGTCGATGGGCACGTAAGGATAAACCACCGAGCTTCGCGCATAGGAAAAAAACTCTAAAGGATCAGTGAACTCGACGAAATGATGGTTAATTCGCTCCCTCAAATCATAGGCCTCAGGTTTCAAACAGCTTGCCCAGTCAGAAGCCCAGAGGAAGAAGAAGCCACATCCCATGTAGAGGGTTGTGAAGAAGAACTTCCCATGTCCATATTTGCGACTTTCTGAATCAAAGGATTCAGAGCAGTTCGTTCATAGTCCAAGGGTGAGTCAGAAGAAGAACTTCCCATGTCTATATTTGTAAGTTTCTGAATCAAAGGATTAAGGGCAATGTGTTCGTAGTCCAAGGGTTGATAATTTGCAAAGGCATCCATGACCTGAATATAGAAAGGTGGGTAAAGGTGGCTAATTAATGCATGGAGGTTCTTTTGAGGAGAAACAACATCATCAGATGACTCTTCATGTGCTCGATTAATGGAGGCGAAAATCGATTCGGCCTCAAAAAATATATATCAGTCTATTCGAATACTAAGGTGGTGGGGGTATTCAAAAGATTGGAGGAGAGTTTAATGCAGATGATGAATGACAGTTGCATTTCTAGAAGAATGCAAAGCCCATGCACGTTCTGAAACGTGGATAAAAGACCTAGATCCACTAATATCACCAAGTATTGGGTATATTAGTGCGGGGGGGTAATGTTGGCTATATATTTTGTACAAGCCAATTACAATTCGACGTGTGACAGAATAAGGGTAATACATGAAGACTATTCAAGTCTTCGATCCTGATCGTACACGTGGCAGTTAGTATTGGTTATTACGAGATCTGGGTAGTAGTGGATCAACAAAAAGATGCAAGGTGATGTGGCTTCAACGGTTACTCACATTTAAATTCAAATTTAAGAGGGAAGTCTAACAGCAAGTGATAGCATAATGGAGCTAATTATAAGGCAACATGATCAGTGATCATGGAGGAGCAGTTCGACGGTTAGAAATACAGTTCAATGGTCATCCTTGAGAAGTACAAATAGCAGAGACGGCCCACAAAAAGACCCCCAGACTCAGATTAAAAAAACCAGTCTTATTCTACTTATTTTTCTTTTCAGTTTTACATTTCCAATCTTATATTTCCTATTCTTTACATTCATGTACTTTAAATTCCTGCACTGCACTTCGTTCATAGGAGTAGTTTCAAGTAGTAGATTGTTGCTGTAAACCTCTACGGGGCTGAGTTTGGATCATTGTAAGTTTTTCATTTTAATGAAATGCTTTAATTGTTCTTCATTTAATTGTTATCTTGTTTAATTCTTCTAAATCAAGCTACCAGTAAAAGTCCTTTTCATTGAGGCTGAAAGAACTAAAACACAATCGTCTGATAATTGGTTGGCAATTAATTTTCTGTAAAGACTGATTGATCCTTGCTGGCACGCTCGCAATTACAAAAAATAACCTTCGAAAGTCAAAAAGCCAACAATATCCCACAATATATTTTGTAAAATAAACATGAATAATATATATCCAATCTTATATATTAAGTCAACAAACATAAATTAGAGGATATATTATCCAATACTTATATATATTCAATATATATACTGATTAAATCCTATATTATGTTATATCTTCTATTTTATATCTAATGAAACAAACAGGAATAATATGTTATTCATGCAGTAATTTTGGACAGATGTTTGCTATTGGAGCAAACTGGAAAATATTTGAAATATTGAAGGTTAAAGTGAAAAAATTTAAAATTTAAGGAGGTAGAGTATATTTTATCTTATTTTTTAATTAAAAAAAAATTCAAGACCTATGAAATGTGGCCCTAGTGGATAAAGGGTTTAGGGATGCAGATGAGCTGTGTGCCTGTCATTACCTGAAATTAGGTAGGGTCACGGGATGAGTTTGTCATCTTTCGCCTTTGTCTTCATTGACAAACTCACCCTACTCCCGTCCTATTCCATTATGAATGAAATTTTTTAATTTCATTTCCGCCTTCGCAGATATCCATGGATATTCGATATTCATGAATCTTTTATTACATTTTAAATAGTAAAACAAATTAAAAATTATCTAAATTTTTAACACATTAAATATTTTTTTATATATATATAAATGGTAAGATTTTTAAAATTATTATTTATTTATATTTAAATTTTATCATAAATTTTTAATATTATTTTTTTATATGAAATTAAATTTTATATATATTATTAAATATATCGGATCGGGTTTGTATGGAAAGAAATGATATCCTTCCCGCCCCACTCCCAGTGCCATTAACTAAAACATAATCTACTCTCACTTTACATCAGTGTTAAAATAGATAAATTCCGATCTATTTGAACGGATATAGACGAACGCGTGTGGAACGGATTTAAATCACTATCCCCACTTGAAATGAGAAATTGTGGCTGAAATGGAACCTCAAAATAAATTGAAATTGACAATTGTGGTATTACGTTAGGAGACTTTTATCCAACCTCAAAAGTAGGATACTGTAGTCTGTAGTGTTAGTACGGTGCCTTTTTTTTTTTTTTTTTTTTTTTCTTTTGCGCGGAGGAAAGAATTCATGAGAGTAGATCTGAGGGTTGTTTGGGATAACCTAAATAAGTTTATTTTTTGTTTTTTTATGAAAAAATGTGTAAAAAAATAAAAAAGTGATATGATGAAAAAAAGATAAAAAGATAGATTATTTTTGGGTTGCCAAACTTGGCCTTATTCATGAGTAAACTACACTGATATTTTTTGATATTTTTATTTAATACAGATGTTTTTTTATATTTAAAAATTTATATTTATTTTTTTATCAGATTAAAATGATATATTTGTCTCTTAGTCTTTATACATATAAAATAATAAAATAATACAGACATTTTATTTATGTTATTTCAAGGAAAATAAAAATCATTTTATTTGGTTTAACTCACCAAAAAAATTGAGTTTTTTTTATTATTCTGTGTTTTTTTTTATATTTACTGAATTTTTTAATATTTTAAGTAATTTTTTATTTACTTTTTAGATACACTTAATTTAGATATACTTAAGAAATATAATATATTGTGATTTTTTTTTAAATTTACCAAATATAAAAAATACATATATATATATATATAAATTCAATACATAATCTTATTTTATTATATTCAATGAATTTTTTAAAAAAAAATTGTACAAATTTTATACTTTTTAAATATATCTAGATTAAATTGATCTAATCTAGGTATAATGGTGGAAATAAAAATAGAAAATTATATTTATATATAAAAATTTAGACAAAAAAATCATAAAAATGTTGTGATAGTGATATTTTTGTAAATACAAAACATATTTATGAATGTTTTATTTTAAAGTGAAATGTCACCATTAAACTATATCATTGTGTTTTAAAATTTTATATAAAATTCTATATTTGTATATTATCACTCAATAAGAATATATTCAGGTAGAATTTAATGATGGAAAGTTGTAGAATGTAGTCATGATGATAGAAAGAAGAATTGGTTAGAAAAGGGCATGATGGTCATTTAGAAAATTTTAGGGCATGACATCAGCAATTCAGAGAGCAATTTGTAATGAGATTACAAACTTCAAGGAGGAAATACAATTTTTCAAATGTGAGGAGAAATTTGTATTAAACAGAAACCTTAGGATGTGTCAATGTAATTTACCCTTTATTCATTAATCAAAGAAGAAAAGCCTAGCAGTCCAATATCAAACTAATGAGAATGCAAACTCCAACGTGGGAAACAAACTTCCCAAACTCGAACCTTATCAATCGAAAGAGCATGTCGCACAATGTCATGCACTACTCTATTACAAATTCGAAAAATAAAACAAAAACTAACTGAATGAAAGGAAAGACTTAGAGCATCTCCAATGCACTAGGCATATAATACTTGTTAGTTAAAATGCCTAGTGTGATTCACTTTTTTCAATTCCAATGCACTAGGCATATGATTAGGCATTTTGCCTCAACTCATATTCACTAGCTACATGTAGCTAGCCTTCAACGCTAGGCAAAAATGTATTCAATCATTAGGATCATTTCCCTCCATCTTTGTTGCTTTCAACCGCATAGGCTATCCTGCATAATTAGAAGTTTAGGCTTATGTTTTTGTTCCCATTTATAAATATATCTTTGTATTCATAGTAGTGGTCAGAGGAGTAACAGTTGTATAGGATCTCCTAATTTTCATCAACAATTCATTCTTTCAAGAAACCCCGTCTTTCCGAACCTCACATTTCATAAAGACAATAAGCTGAACATTTCCATGATGCAACTAACAGTAGGTTGTATAAATTCTAATGCAATGAAACATTGCACTTGCAATTACAAGTAAGTATCAAGCTCCAAATGCAACAGAAGGAAAGATTGAAAGGCAACTAACTTCGCAACACCTGGCCGAAGAGGCAACAACTTTTTCTCAATAAGGGCCATGAACAACTCCGTCTTTCTCTTGTGCAGGGAAGCAATAAATTGCTTTCTTTCCTCTTCGCTCTTTGGAGCTTTCTCTGGCCAACCAGTCTTGTTAAAGTAGGCTGTCATCCTATAAAGACACAAATTAACCACTAACCTAAAAAAATCAACACCGAAAATTCAAACCAAACAAAACCTCAAAGTAGTCATAAATTATTATAGGACCTCTAAATTATGATAACAATATTCTCATGATCTCTCTACTTCAATTAAAAAAAAAAAAAATCAAATTCAATGTTCTCTATGAGATTTATATAACTTGTAATAGACTTACACTTTTTTCCCAGAAAGAGGCATTACCTTTCTTTTCCTCCCCCAATTTTGAGCAACTCGCCATACAAATCCACATCCCAGGTAACTCCCAATTCCCTCTGTGTAAAATCAGAGTTATTGAAATTCTGAAATTAACATGAGATAACACATGAGTTATTGAAATTCTGTTTCCTTTATTTTAGCATGAGTTATTAACATGAGTTATTTTAGCACTATACAGGAAATCAAATTGCTATATATAAAAGATCATGTGTAGCATTTGATGAGTTAGCTGCTGCGAAGTGATCTATATAGCATTTGATGAGTCCTACACCAACCAGATCACTTCGCAGCTAGAGAAAGATCATGAAAGATCATTCTGAAATTTTATGAGTTACACCGTGTAATTTGATGACTACAGAAGTCAAATTTGATTTTGTGATTTCAGAATTCATTCAAAATTGCCATGTTAATTAACATGTTTCTTCTACATTTCAATTTGATAAATCAAAAAAAAAAAAAAAAAAAAAAATGTGGTTCACAAGTTTTTTGTGGATTTTTTTCGTCTCAAATATTACCAGACAATTGATGGAAGATCACATTAAAATATAATTAAAAGTATGAAACTTAAATTGATGAAATTAAAATTACAAAACTCAAAAAAAAAAAAAAATCTAGCTAAAATTAGAGAGACAGATAATGCAATTTACCTCTCCGTTTTGTTTTGTGGTTTTTTTTTTTTTTTTTTTTAGGTAGAGTACAACTCAAATACATAACAAAATGAGATAAAAAGAAGATATAAATGGATGGAGTTGGAGATATAATTGAGATCTGCAGAAGTAGAGGCTGTTTTAATTTTTGTATCCCAAAAGGGCACAGCTATGCACAGCAAATGTTTTATCCTCTTAATAAACAAACAAACAAACACCAACTAATCTTTTCCTCACTTAAAATGCTTTAATTGCATCATCAACCAAACAACTCTAGGTCGTTCCTTCTCTTTCGTACGAACCCAACCCCTCTCTCTCTCTAAAATCAAGCCCTTTCTCTCTCCTCTCTGTCTCTTCTTTCCCAACTCTTCCCCAATTTCAGTCTCCCTCTAAAACTTCCACAACCCACTTCAATCTTTCACAGCTTTTTCACACCCTCATTTTTTCTGGGTTTGAATCGAATAACCCAAAAAATTACTCAAAAATGGTGATTGTGGGATTGGTATGAATGAAAATTCACAAAATGGCAATTGGATTCAAGAGCTATTAAGAGGTGGTGCTGGACTAATAGGAGGAGTGAGAAAAATCTCCATTACCGGTGTTCTAGAGGGTTCCTCCCCTTCTCCATCTCCTTCCTTCTTCACCGCCAATACTCCGGCGAGCTCTTCAGCCTCTGCGGAGAACCAAAACCTTCAGTGTCTGCATGATGGAGATGAACAGTTAATTTCTAAACCCATTTCAAGAGATGAACAGTGTCTGTAAACAATATATTCATGAGAAATCAAAACCCATTTCATATGTTAGAAACAATTTATTCAATAGAGATAGAAACCCATTTGAAGAGTGAAATAGAAACCCATTTGTTGGAGGTTGTACAACAAAAACTATCTAGAACCGAAACCAGAGAGCTGGACAGAGATGGAGAAGGTTTGTGTGACTATGTAAGGAAGAGAGTTTAAAATCAAGGATGAGGAGAGAGAGAGGGGGAGTGGGTAGCCTTTAAAAGACGTGGGAGAGAGGGGGTGAGACGTGGAGGAGCGTCAGTTGTGATAGAGAGGGTGGGTTTTTTGCTTCTGTTGAAGAACAAAGAGTGAGAGAGCAAAAGAAAGAGCTAGAGAGGAAAGGTGTGGGTGTGGGTGTGGGTGTGGGGATGGGTCAGACGTGGGTAGATAGGTATATAGGCGGCGATCATCACTCATTTGAACTAATCTGAACCATTGATGTATAGTTCAGATTCATCTCAGCCGTTAATGTTAAATGTATCTCTGATACATTTTGGTATATTTTCAAAAACAATCTTGTCTTATTGTATAGATTAGTTAGAATATTTTTCAATCCATCAAAAACCGTCCAAACTGCAATTTGTCAATTCGCTATTCAATTTGTAATTTTACTCTTAAATTGTCCAAACCACACCGCACACAACATTATAGTAAAATTAATTTTGTTTCAATTAATTTCCGCACAATAACTAAACCCATACCATTAGTAAATCCATCACAACAATATAACCCATACTATCATTTTCAACCACCAATTATGGACTCATTTGGGAAGATAGTTAAAAGTCAACTTTTGATTTTTAACTCATTTTTGACCATATCACCTCTTATATTTTTTATTCACAAAAAAAAAAAGAAGCTAAAAAGACAATTTTTAACCAACTTCACCAACATTGTTGCTCATTGCCTCTGCAACTTCTAATTTTTCTATCTAAAATCCCCCCTTTCACTCAAAAATGAAAACTTTCAAAAAGAAATAACAAAATTAATTTTCTCCCTCTAATATTTTTTGCTATCTAAACCTCACTCTCTTCTTGGATTCATTTTTTATTATATACAAATACAGATAAAATAATTACATTTAACAAGGAATAATAGAGAGGTCCAGTTTTAGAGAGTAGAGGATATGGGTAAGCTTTTGATTTATTGATACTGTGTTTGGTTTGGGGATTTGATGAGGAATTTGAAAAAAGAAAGGAAAAATTTAGGTGAAATGTGAATAAAATATATCTATATTTCACCTAATTTCACACACTTTACACTTTTTCCTTTTTCTTTTCCAAATCCACTACTAGAAAAAGGAGCTTTAGCCACGGAACTTTTTGCGATGGTTATTTTTGCAACGACAAAAAAGACCGTCACAAAATAAATTTTTTTTTGCCACGATAATTGGCCGTTATAAAAAAAATATCGGATGGATTACTAATTTTATAGACAGATAACCCAAAACCATCACAAAAAGTCTTATTATATGCAACAGTACATTATCCCGTCGCAAAAAAGTTTTTTTTTTTTGCCTTTTTTTGCTCTTTTGCGATGGTCTTTCAAAATGTTGCAAAAACTTAAATCTTATTAATTCTATCTCGCCTCCAGCCCAGCCCAGCCCTAGTTCCTCTCTCTCTCTCTTTCTCTGTGTCTCACGTAAGCCCATCTCTCACTCTCTTTCTCTTTTTTGCGCCCAACCCTTATCTCTCTTGTAGTGGCGGCAATTCCGGTGTGGGCAGTACGCCCTCCAACGACAGCACCGACGTGGGCAGCACCCCCTCTGGCGGCAACACTGGCGTGTACATTTACCCCTCCAACATTCAGGTTACCCTGCTCCTCTTCTCTTCTCTCATCTCATTTTCTCTTCTCTTTTCTCCTCTCTTCTCCTCTCTTCTCACAATCTCTCTCATTGACCCACTCACTCAACACCCGCGTCAACTGATTCCCTCTCCAACATCCAGGTGTAGCCAGATACGATTACTGCTTGTTGATTTTTAGCCTTTACAACTTACCATATACAGTATGATTTCCACATCTATTCTAGTGTTTGTTAATTATGTGTATGTATATGTATATGTATCCCCGTTCCCCGTTGGACTCCTGTGTAGGTCTATTCGTGGGCTTGGTATATCGGGCACCGGTTTGGGAAGCGTGGATCAGTCCGACCCGTTCCATCTGGAATACGTTGTATCATCAGTTGGCGCCGTCTGTGGGAAATCCTTTTGTTCCGCGCGCCAGTTGTGCTCATTGCCGCCGGAGACCCTTTCCCAATAACCCTTTCCTGCCACCCACCAAGGTGGATGGTCACGACTAGATCCATGGCTTCTTACCACAATGTTGCCGACCACCAAGCTGACCCTCCTAATCCAAACAACCCACGACAGTATTTCACCGAGCTCACCAACAACATTAACCGCCTCGCCGAGCAAAACCAAGCCCTGATTAATACTCTACTCCAAAGAAACCTTCTTATGCCCCCTCCACCACCTCTAGATATCCCACCCAACCAAGAACGAACCCCGAGCCATCCCATCCAACAACCCTACCCACCCAACCTGGAAGGCTTGCAACCCCCTCCCCTAAATATGAACCCACCTCCTCGGTTCCCACATTTGTCAGTCCAGGCACCCACCCCCGAGGGAGAGGCCAGTAGCGTCCAGCCTCCGCTGCATTCCGGTGGTGACAACGTTCCTCTCTGGGATGCAGAACTCCGAGCCATGAAGCTCCAGCTCCAAGGAGTCATGCAGAACATGCAGAATAAACCATCTACCACAGCCAACTCACTGTTCATTGCTTCCATCAGGGACAAACCCTTACCTCTTAAATTCAAAATGCCCTCGCTTGACTCTTTTGATGGCACAACAGACTCGGTCGACCATTTGGAAACTTATAGGATCCTTATGATCCTCCATGCATTCCCTGACGAGATCATGTGTCGCGTCTTCCCTGTAACTCTTAAGGGGTTGGCGTGACTCTGGTTTAGTCAACTGCCAGCAGACTCTGTCTCCACTTTCCAGCACCTAAGTGACTCTTTTCTCAGCAATTCATTGGTGCTCAGCGCCAACAATGTCCGGCAACCCAACTCTTCAACATCCGTCAGACCGAGAGGGAGTCGCTGCGCAGCTTCGTCACCCGCTTCAATACCGAAGCCCTGCAGGTAGCGGAAAACGATGACAAGGTCATCCTCGCGGCTTTCATGGCCGGTCTACGATCATCTGACTTCTTTTTCTCCCACTCTAAAAACCCCCTGACCTCCATGGTAACCCTACTTTCCAAAGCCCAGAAATATATGAACGTCGAAGATTTCTTAGCCGCCCGACAAGATCCTACAGCCAAAAACCCGGCCCCCAGAGAGAAAAGGAAGGACTCCGAAAACAGAAACACCCAGTACACTCACCAAATACCTCAGTATACAGACCGACACTCCGAGCCGACCGGTCGGCGCCAGCCCGACCGCCCAGCCGGTTCGAACGATACATACCCCTCAATTCCTCTATGGAACAAGTCCTGAATCAGATTCAACGAGACTATCCCCTAAAATGGCCCCAACCGTCACGGTCTCCTTCCAACAGGCGAAACCAGTCCAAATACTGCTGCTTTCATCAAGAGCACGACCATAATACGGAGAAGTATGTTAACCTCAAAGACCAGGTCAAGGGTTTGATATGTCAGGGACGTCTCAGTCGGTTCACGGCAGCCTTCCCTCAGCAAAGGCAAATAGCTGAACCTATCAGAAACGACCACTGGCGCACCCCTCCTCGACAACCTGCCCAACCTAACCAAGGTTATGATAGGCCTCCGCAGCAACCCCGGGCACAAGGCAATCCTGTCCTCCCTGTCGGAGAGATCAGAGTTATTGTTGGTGGGCTCGCTTGTGGAGGACCATCTCGCTTGGCCCAGCGGGCATAACTTAGAAAAATAAGGCAGGGCTCAGATAAAGAAGTTGCCACACTAGACCACCCTTCTAAACAGCCTAAGCAGTGGATGGAGCCCATCACCTTTATGGAAGCCGACTGCACAGGCATCCGTTACCCCCGTGACGACCCCCTCGTCATCTCTGTTCTCCTTTCCAATTACAAAGTCAGACAGGTTCTCGTCGACAATGGCAATTCTTCAGACATCATCTTCCTCAACGCCTTTCGCCAACTCAAGATTGGGGAAGAAAGCCTATCCCCTCTCCAAACCCCACTGGTAGGCTTTACAGGAGATCGGGTGACCTCCATCGGCTCCATCGATCTTCCCATCACAATCGGTGAATACCTGCGGTAGACCACAAAGTTACTCACCTTCCTCGTCATCGACTGTCCCTCTGCTTACAACATTATCCTTGGCCGAACCGCCCTGAATGCCTTCCGAGTTGTGACATCCACTTTGCATCTTGCCGTCAAATTCCTCACCGACCTTGAGGTCGGCACGGTGAGGGGAGAGCAGACCGTGACCAGAGAATGTTACGTGGCTTCACTTAAAGAGGTCAAGCTAAAGGAGGCTATGATCATTGAAGGACTCGACGTCAGAGATGAAGACAAACTAGTTAGAGGGGAACTGGTGGAAGAGCCTGCTGAGGTCCTCATCGATCCCACCAACCCGACAAAAACAGCTAAGATCGGCAGCTAACTATCCCCACAAGCCAAGGCCGACCTTACAACCTTCCTGATTGAACACAGAGATGTGTTTGCCTGGACCTACTCTGACATACCGGGCATTGATCCCTTCTTCATCACTCATTGTCTCAGCATTGAGCCCCATTTCCGACCCCTTTGCCAAAAGCAGCGCATCTTCCACCCAGAATGCAATACCTTAATTGCTTCTAAAGTAGATAAGCTCCTTGAGGCACAGTTCATAAAAAATGTGGACTACCCCAGATGGCTGTCAAATGGTGGAAGAGCTTGCCGAGGTCCTCATCGATCCCACCAACCCGACAAAAACAGCTAAGATCGGCAGCTAACTATCCCCACAAGCCAAGGCCGACCTTACAACCTTTCTGATTGAACACAGAGATGTGTTTGCCTGGACCTACTCCGACATGCCGGGCATTGATCCCTTCTTCATCACTCATTGTCTCAGCATTGAGCCCCATTTCCGACCCCTTTGCCAAAAGCAGCGCATCTTCCACCCAGAATGCAATACCTTAATTGCTTCTAAAGTAGATAAGCTCCTTGAGGCACAGTTCATAAAAAATGTGGACTACCCCAGATGGCTGTCAAATGTGGTCCTAGTCCATAAAAACAATGGTAAGTGGCGACTCTGTGTCGACTACTCCGATCTCAACCGAGCTTGCCCCAAAGATAGCTATCCCTTTCCTTGCATAGATCTACTTGTCGATGCCACGGCTGGACATCAAATGCTCAGCTTCATGGATGCCTTCTCTGGGTATAACCAAATTCTGATGCACTTGACTAAC